ATACATCAGGATCCTCCGTGAGCTGTATTGCGGATTCACTACCAGGATCTCACCATTCTACAAAGAAGTGATCGTTGATGTCAAGAGAGGGGTGCGGCAGGGTGATACCATTTCACCAAAACTCTTCAGTGCCACCCTCGAGAACATCATGCGACGACTGGAATGGGAAGGAATGGGAGTGAAGATAGATGGTCGGCAACTACACCACCTCCGCTTTGCTGATGACATTGTTTTAATAACACCAAACATCAGCCAAGCGGCACAAATGCTGGCCGACTTTAACCGTGAGTGTGGAAAGGTAGGACTACAGCTGAATCTTACGAAGACAATGTTTATGAGAAACAGCCTTGTTCCTGACGCCCCATTCGCTCTCAATGGAACGACCATCTCCGAATGCAACAGCTATGTGTACCTAGGTCGAGAGGTCAACATGACAAATGACCTGGCACCCGAGCTGCGCAGGAGGAAGAGAGCGGCTTGGAACGCCTTCAAGAACGTCGAAGAAATAGCTAAGAGGACGAAGAACCTCCGGCTCCGGGCACATCTCTTTGATTCCACTGTTCTTCCTGCATTAACATATGCCTCAGAGACCTGGGCCCTACGCAAACAAGATGAGAACGCCATTCAGGTCTCCCAAAGAAGAATAGAAAGAGCTATGCTTGGAATATCACGTTTCACTCAAATGAGAGAACGAATCCGGAGTTCTGACATCCGTCGACGATCAAGGATCAGGGACGCTGTCTCATTTGCCAAGGTGTCGAAAATCAGATGGGCTGGTCACGTAATGAGATTTAAAGACGACCGTTGGACTAGAGCTGTTACTGATTGGATTCCACGGGATGTCAAGAGACCGCGTGGCCGCCCACCTACCAGATGGTCAGACTTCTTTGTCAAGATCATGAACGATCGGTTTGAGGCCCTCCATGTTCCCGGAGCGAAGAGATGCCATTGGGCTACACTAGCACGCGACAGGGACAAATGGAGACGTTACTGGCGCCCGCTTGAGCAAATCGACGACTAACGGGAAGTTAAGTAAGTGAAGTTTATCTTTGGCTCCATTAGCTTATGCTAATCACAATGCATATTTCATAATAGAAGTAATATGAATCATCCTGCTTAGAATTTAAAAGATGCAGGGAGATGGCTGAAAGGATTGGAGTACAGGCGTTGCATGAGAGGGTCCAGAATTCGATCCCTGGCACTGCTTGATCCCCCAGCCACACAGGTGTGGCCCCAAAACCAGAAAAGAATAAAAGAATTCTGGATATTCGAAAATTCTGCTTGAAGAATTTGGCCTTATTCCTTGAACTGATGCTTCATGTCATTAGAGATATTTCATATTTAAAAGCTTTATTGAAGATATTTCCTCAGATAAGAATAGTTTTCACTTATTTGACCTGGGAGAATCCCTGTCATCTTAGAAAACTGACTCTTGAAATGATTCTCTCATTTACATAACAAGATGGTTAAGCAGTTCAGAGTTAACTAATTTCCCATATGTTGTACAAAATCAAGCCTAAATACAATTGGCATTTTAACCCTCGTGTATTAAAAGAAATTTCCTTTGGAAAGAGAATACAAACTTTGACACTGTAAATTGATTTCCTTGTTATGGAAATAAATTTTCTGCTCTTCTTTCTCATTGCTAGATAAGTTCTGATTGCTCTTCTACTCTATAGATACTTAAGATCTTGTATTTTTATAAGTTTAGATATTCTATGTAAAGTCTATAAACATTAACTTCATATAATTTTTTTCTTAATCCTCTACATATTGCACATCTATTATTTTTATGTCAGAATTTCTTCTGTGCTCTTAGAAAATTATCATAAAATATTATTTTAATATATTTTTAGTAATTAAGTAGATCAAAAAGACTTAGTATTTTGATTATACTCATAAGCAGTTTTTAAATTGTCACATAATGTGAACATAGCATAATTTCTAAAACTAAGTATTCTTAAATGATGTAATATGAAAAATTTTGTTCAAATAGCTGCTACTCAGCCAAAAGCATTTAGATTATAGTCTGAAGTAGCGTTCTGAATTTCTCTTTAGAAATTTGAACATTGAAGTAGCCCAGATAATATATACTTGTTTGGAAATAAGGAAATGTTTGTTTTAATACAGTTACAGAATTCTCTTTGGAAGTCTTTGTGAAATTGTTTTTAAATGTTTTAAAATGTTTTTAAAATTTTAGATGTGTTCTCTCTGTTACTTAAAATGGGTGATGTTTAGAGTACTTATATATAAACGCATTAATGCTTTTGAACAAATTAAATGAATGTTCATGTTAAATAGGATAAACTTCAGTTTGGTTCAAGCTTGTTGCCAGATGATATCTACTCAAACTAGATTTGGCTTCCATATTCATTATGAAACATAACCTTCATTTTTTCAGAGAATTTTGTTATGAATATGAGATTTTGGTCCAAATTTCTCCATAATCTTGGTTATTTAGTTTTGGGGGAGGGGTGTCATACCCGGCAATGCAAAGGGGTTACTCCTGGCTCATGCACTCAGGAATTACTACTGGCCATGCTCAGGGGACCAAATGGGATGCTGGGAATCAAACCCGGGTTGGCTCCGTGCCCACTGCACTATTGTTTCAGCCCCCTGATCTTGGTTATTTTTTTAAGGACCTCAATCATCTGAATTGTAAACCTGAGAAATAAGGGTAAGTAATTTTCTTAGTAGACTATTATCTTACTATCTAACTTTTTTGTATAAGAAATAACACAATTGAGGCTAGAGAGAGTACAGAGGTTAAAGCTCTTGCCTTGCATGCAGTGGAATCTGGTTTGATTCCTGAAACCATCTATGTCTCCCTTATAGCTATCAGGAGGGATCCTGATACAGGGCCAGGGTTAAGCCCTGAGTGTTATCAGGTGTGATCCAAAAACCCAGTAATGATAATGATAATAAAAAATAGCAAAAGTAAACTTTTTGATAATCTATGTTAATCATATGATATGATTAATAACATATCACAAGTAAACTTTATGATAATCTATGTTTAATCATATGATAATCAGAGGTGTTACACCTTCTTCAAATGATGATGAGATCATTGTTATTATTTGGTCCTAAGAATTGAACCCAGGGCTTCATATGTGCAAGACATGCACTCTCCCACTAAAGAATAACAGTTGTTTATGATGTTTTGTAAATAATAAAGTAGGTAGATCAAGATGTGTTTCCACTTGGTCCTCTATACAGTTGGAAATAAACTAGGTTTCATTATGATAGAGTTGCTTCTGTTTGCAACTTTGATTTCTGTAGAATGTCTTGGAACATATTTCCTGTATGGTCAGAATTCAAATTAGAACTATATAAACGTGTGAAAGCATTGGAGGCTGACTTTTCTTTAAGAAATTAATCAGGAAAAAAAGGAATTAATCAGGGTTGGACTAAGGTAACCAAAAGGGAATCTGTGGAAACTATTTTGCGTCAGAGCCTCAGATTTTCAATCACAGGTCTGGAAGCTGTCCCCTGGGTGGGGATTGCCATCTTGGATATTTCAATTATAGGTAGGAGAATGAAATGAAAACTAGAGACTAGATACTGTGAACAAGAATACATGAACTTGGAAACCTGTTTTAGTTGTTTTGCATCTAAGTTTTTAAAAAATGTATTTGATTATCTTTAGACATGGATGTCCCATTTTGAGTGTTTTCTACCACTCTCTATGCTATTGTACTTTGTCATTTCTCTCATTTAGTTTATCATATGACCCTCTCCATAGGAGCATTTAAATTTTCCATTCTCCTTGGAAGCTTGTGCTTTCAAAGTAGATTTAAAAAAGTGGAAAAGCAATTGTGGGGAGCGCTAGACTGTGATTTGTCCACAATACAACAGTTATCCAGCCCTTAGTGAGCACCACACTTAAGAGGGTGAGCCTCACAGCCAACCATGGGCAACCTCGCTGGTTCAGTGCAACAATGATAGCAACAAAAGGGAAGGGAAGCAGGACAAGTTAGAATGTTTATTTTCAGACTTTTAGTAAAGGTAAGCTCATTTTTTTTTTTTTACAGTGGTCACATTGAAGATTCCCCAGTTCCCTTACAATGTGTTTTGGTATATTTCAACAATAGTTAGAAACACTATGCTTTCCTAAATTTACCCTTAAATCTTTTGAAGTTTTCTTACATTAGTGTGATCCATAAATGCTCAATTACTCTATGTAACAGACTAATTACTCTTAATTATATAATCAAGGCAAAAGTGTATAAATATATATATATAGTTATTGGAGGGGGGACAATATTTGGGCTACACCTTATTTCTAACTGTGTTCAGGAGTTGCTCTTGTCTGTGCTGTGAGCCCATGCAGTTTCCAGGGATTGAACTGGGATTAGTTTCATTCGAGTCAAATACCTTAACCCTAGTACTATCTCTGTGGCTCCCCAAAGTATGTTCGTTCACTAGAACTACTCAGGTCATTATATTTTATGCTATTACTTAGAATACCCTCTATGTTTTACCTTTTCAAAATAATTGAAGTCATGCTCAACAAGGGCATTTGTTTGGATGGAGAGTGTCCAAGCATTTTATATAATTTTAATCTTATTTGTCCCACATGCATTTTTTATTTCTATCTTTTTTCAAATGTAATTTAAATTATTTCAGTTTTCTAAGTTAGAAATTCAACTATGGTTTTTAAAAATCAATTTTTCTTTATAACAATATCATAATAAAGTGTTCAAAGTTGATTTCTTACACATTCAAATAAATAGTGACTTGAAAATGGTAATATTTTATATTGATATATTTTCGAAAGCTCTCAGTGTACAAACTTATTTGGAAATACTCCTATTGTACCCCTTTAGAAATAATTTTACATATATGGATGATAGTTTAATATTTTTATTTTTTCTATAGATAAGTTTAAATACATTATGAATGTTGTAATATCTTATTTGTCTTTAAAAATAACACTTGAAGTTTTGACTTGCTGACTTAACTAATTTTGTCATTTTTTAATTCTTGATAAAAAACAGATAATCAGCTTTTTCATACAAAATATGGAATCAGAAGCACCAAACATAAACCAGTAGACTATCAACAATTACTTGCATTAAAAGAAGCAAAATTATCTTCTCTCTCCACAGAACTAAAGGTTAGAGATTGTGTATGTGTGCTCTAGTTTCGAAAAATTAAATGGCTAGGAAGAATAATGATATTTTACAATGTTTTTGTTGTTGCACATGTAGTCTGTTATTTAGGTTTTCTAAGGGATTCTAATTGTTTCACTATTTTTTAAATATTTACAATGTTCATGTGAAAATAGGGCTGGAGTGATAGCACAGCGGGTAGGGCGTTTGCCTTGCATATGACCTACATGGCCGACCCAAGTTCGATTCCTCCGCCCCTCTCGGAGAGCCCGGCAAGCTCCTGAGAGTATCTCACCCGCATGGCAAAGCCTGGCAAGCTCCCCGTGACATATTCAATATGCCAAAACACAGTAACAACAAGTCTCACAATGGAGATGTTACTGGGCCCGCTCGAGCAAATCAATGAACAATGGGAGGACAGTGACATATGTGAAAATAACATAGTTTTCTAAATCCTCCAAGTATTAATAATAATTTAAACACTATACTATATAGTTTGTTCTCTACTTATTTAATTTTCAAAAACTCTAATGGTCTAAATCAATTTGCTTTAAGAAAGAGCTATTTCATTGTCTTCCAACAGTTTCTAAATAAACCTGAAAAATAAAAAATTCTAGTACCAGGAGTAGACTCTCATCTCATCTGATTATAAGTTCCTTCTGTAATACCATTCACATATGCTCTATGTGCCTCTCATATCTAGAATTTTGTTGTTGTTGTTCAGCTGTGTACCCATAGCATGAAAAGGTGAACCTGGACTAGAGATAAAAGGGATATATAAATGATTCACACAGTATTTTAGGATTTTATATCACTCAGTATGTTTCCCTCCAGTGCAAGTGATAGTCTTCATTATAGGTAACACTGTTCTGTTAAATCTCATTTCTTAATTTTTATTGTCAATATCTTGATTTGTTTGGAGGCCACATCGGCAGTGCTCAGTGCTCTTATATTCAGGAATAAATCCCAGTGGTGCTCAGGGGAACATATGAAATGCTAAGGATCAAACCTAAGTTGACTGCATGCAAGGCAAGCACCTACCCTGCTGTATTTACTGATTTTTTTATATTTGTCCTATTTTGTGATGTAAAAATGGTCGTATGCACAGACACTTTTTCTGCTTTAGAGCTCTCCACTCCATGATTAGAATCTCTAGGCCAAAAAAGTAAATTGTGTATTTTAACATATATTAATAGTTTTTCCCGAGATATTATTCCAATAAAGATAATATAACAAAAATTTTTGCTGTACCCTTTTCACCATGGGAATGTGTATGTAGATAGCCATGTATTTTCCATTATTATGTTCTTTCTCCCTTTCTCTCTTTTCCCCATCTCTCTCTTTCTTTCTCTCTGTCTCTACATCCATCCATGCATCTATTCAACCTTCTAGAAAGACATTTGGCTGGTTTTGGAATGATTGAGCTTTAAAAATCAACATTTGGTTGATATCTTTGATGATGAAATCACTATAAAAGTAAGCATATTTAAAGTTTTAATTGTAGTTTAAAGTTTGACATTAAATGCAGGGATAATAATTTTTATCACTGTCAGTTGCTCGATTTCTTCTCTAATCGCTAAGAATACTCATGGATTATATAGATGATCACTAGTTTAACTGGCATTTTAAATAACAGCACTAATCTTTTGTTGTTCATAACAATATATTTCAGGGAGACACTTTTTAGTTACATAATTTTTAGAAATAATGTGTCTATAATTCACTCCTTGGAACATTAAAAAATGTTTTCAACTATTGAACATGGATCATGAACAGAAAATATTATTCAATGAGCCTTTTTTTGTGTTTCTTTCAGTTTTTGTCCCACAATCAATGGTGTTAAAGGATTACTCCTGTCTTTTCACTAAGGGTTCACTCCTGACTAGCTTGGAGGATTATATGTGGAGACAGAGTTTTAATTTTTATTATATCTGGAATAGGAATATGTATTGAAGATGAATAGTTTTGTACATTATTTAAAATGAGATTAAAGCTTATTTAATTTAGAGATGGCAAATTGACATTTTGCTTTTAATTTTTTCTTTGTAAGATATGCACAATTCCCAAATGAAAGAGTATGGATTAAAGAGAATTAGATACTTAGAAATGAAATACAAATCTCAAAGTTTATGTTATTTAGTGTAATGAATGTTAATATACTAATCTATATCAATCAGAGGTATGATGGTGTTATAGTCTATTATAATTCATTGTATTCATATTTTAATAAAATGTGTTGGACTTAATATTTTATTCTTCTTAATATTACATAATGAGCAATTCCCTTTTAATATTTATATCATAAGGGGCTGGAGCGACAGCACAGCGGGTAGGGCATTTGCCTTGCACGCAGCCGACCCGGGTTCAATTCCCGGCATCCCATATGGTACCCTGAGCACTACCAGGAGTAATTCCTGAGTGCAAAGCCAGGAGTAACCCCTGAGCATTGCTGGGTGTGACCCAAAAAGGAAAAAAAATTATATCCTCAGTCCAACCCTCTACTTATTTTACAAATTAAATGTGCTCAGTATTTGTATTTAGATTAATAGATTTAATAATCATTGTTAATTATTATGTATTTTGGCACTGTAAATATAAACATGCTTAAACCAAATAATAGAATGTGAACTTTGCTTTGAGTTTAAAGCTAGAATACAAGCTTTAATACCATTGAACTAAAATACAATATTTGAAAAAAGGCTAAAAGCAATTATAACAATAAAGTCAGAGTAAAGGAAAAAGGTAAAGGACCTCCCGTTGATCGTCGATTTGCTCGAGCGGGCCCAGTAACGTCTCCATTGGAGACTTTGTTGTTACTGTGTTTGGTATATCGAATACTCTCGGTAGCTTGCCGGGCTCTCCGAGAGGGGTGGAGGAATCGAACTCAGGTCGGCCATGTTGGCCACTTGTAAGGCGAACGCCCTACCGCTGTGCTATCGCTCCAGCCACGTAAGAGTAGGGAGAGATAATACAGTGATTAAGCTGGCATTGCATATGGCATCCCTTGAGTACTGCCATGTGTGGATACCTCTCCCTGCTCAAACCCAAGAACAACAAAACCAGAAGATGTGCTTAGCTTACATTACTGGTATCATATTGATTAGATATTATTTCACCAATATAATTAGTATATCATTGACCATGCCCAAATTTTGAGATAAGAAACAAAGAGGACATTTAGGGTTCGTTTTCAGAGAGGGTAACTTGATGTTAAACATAGATTTCAGTTGAAAACAGGACAATTTTTGTCTACATTATATATTAAATATTCAATTCTGACTTAAGTGTAAAAGATACATTAAAAATTATTTTTGGATTTCCCCAGCCATGCATGGAGGCAGGGTTATGCACAATCTTGCCCAGAGTACTAGGCAGAGCTGGAAATCTAACTTGGGGTGTTGTGTATGTAAAGCATGTGCGCCACCCCTGTCAATATTTTTATTTGAAAATTTTAATATTAGTATATTATTTTATAATATATCTTATTATATATAATATATTTTATATTATTTATTTAAATATAATTTATAATATTATGTAAATATATTCTGGCCCTGTAAATATTTTTATTTGAATATTTTTTCTGCCAAGAATAAAATGTTTCTTTTTGTACAGTCAAATTTTCATTTACTAAATCTTTTTTTAAGTGTTAAAGGAAATTGTAATTATATACTAATTTGTATGATGGTGCCATTAACCTCCAAAGAACATTATGTGGCTTCAGTGACCAACTCTTGGACATTGTTTCCTTTATACTCCCACCCACAACTTCCCACAGTACAAAACAATTTTGAAGCAAACACACATATTTCAGCATGCATGTCTAAATGATTATAGTTCAGAACCTCCAAATCCTGTAATTCCATTGCCATTAAAATCTTAAATTCTTAGTAATTTCAAATAGCCCTTCAGTGTTAAAATTCCATAACCATCTTCTAATTTTTTTTTCTAAAGTTTATTTAAAAACTCCAATATGTCCCATACTTTGTCACTAGATTTTTCAAAGATGTCTCCATTGTCTTATATCCTGACAACTTTTTGAAGAAAGTTTATTGTTTATCTTTTATAGTTTTGTGCGGTCTGGATTTTATTGATTTTCAGCCTGGTAGTATCATTTGACATGGTTTTTTTTTGTCTCATGTATTTCTAATACATTGGTAGTTATAGCTATAGATTTTATCAGACTTTGGTTTAGATATATTTAGGCAAGAGCACTTACTAATAGAATTGTTATGCTCATTTTTTAAATGCAAATAGTTCTGCAATGAATAGCTCTGTTTATTTCTTTTCATATTTTTGTCAGTGTTGTTTTCAGGTGGATTTCTATACGTAAGGTTGCTAGGTCAAAGAGTAAATTCAAAAGGAATGATGTCATCTCTCCTAATTCCCCATTTTAGGGATATATGTGTGTATTATTTTGCATCACCACTGGAATGTTGATGGGAATAAATTTCTCCATAGCTCCCAGAGGGTTTTGTTAAACATTGAGTTTTGACAAATTTATAGATAAGAAATTTCATTTAGTAAAATTGAATTTTTCTTTTTTGTTAATTTTCACACAATTCTAAGTGTACATTTCAATGAATTTTCCCAAATACATACACACATGTATTAAACATTTAAATTATTCACTTGTTATTTTATGAGATCAGACCAGATTTGGCAATTCAGGGTGTTATTTTCATCTAGCAATGGATCATCTGGTTGAAAGGGTGTTAATGGCATTTCAGGTTAGTTAGGGCTTAAGTATCGTAGACCTTAATGGTAAATTTCATAGGAAAATTATGGCCTATAATTCTTGTTTAGACACTTATTTTTGCTGTTGGAATTCATTACTATCCCACATAGATCATCTTTTATTTTTAATACTAATTTTATATGACTCATTGCCCAACTAACCGAGTTGAATATTAGGAAACTTTTTATTGTTAAAGATAGAATTTTTTTTTTTGGTTTTTGTTTATTTGGGGGCCATGCACAGCAGTGTTAAGGGCTTACTCCTGGCTCTGGGCTCAGAGACTACTCCGAGCTACCCTGGGGACCATACGTAAGGTACTGGGAATGCAACCCAGGTGACCCAAGTGCAAGTCAAATGCCCTACTGGCTGTACTATATCATTGCTCTGGTCCAGATATAATAAAAATTTTTTTTCAAGACCTTTTCTTCACTTTTAGCCTGAGGATAGAACTGAAGTGAATGAGTGAATTAAAAAATATCAGAATGTTCTGCAAAATTTTGAAAGTGTCTTGTGAAAATAATAGTATGATTTTGATGTTTATTGGCTACTTAATTGGTATTTCCCTGGGCCCAAAGGCAGAAGCATTGATTTTCTTTAAGCTATAAAAATGTGTCTACATCTTTCACCAAAGTGTTGTAAATTTTTTGTATAACATGGAGCAAATGTGTCAGAAAATCTAATTTAAAAAGTTGTGTCTGCTGCAACAAACTTTAGAAACTATGGATTACAAATAGCTGGAATGAATTTAAAGTGGAAACAAACACTATAAAACAAACACTAGAGTGTCAAATTTTAGAAACACTTTCTGCTTTTGATTTTTTCAGCAGATGAGATAGGTATTACTGTGTATTTTCCTCCAGTATCCTGTTCATGTTTAAATGTGCCTTTTCCCCCAATTTCATCATTGTTGCACACTTTAGACTGCCTGAGGAAAAGATTTGACTTTGAGTTCATATTTTTAAAGTAGTCTTTGAGTAATATAATTTTTATATATAACAAATTTTGAATCAGTAAAACCAGAATAGCAAAAAGATAAACTCAAGGTTAAAGTAATCAGAGAATGACAACTCGAAATAGCATGCATTATAAAGAATATTTTCAGAACATGTCTCCTGAAGATTCTATATCCTCATATAAATCTGTTAAAACGTTCAGGGTATGAAGCATTTTAGAAACAGAAAAAATTTAAATATGCATAATTTCATAAATGAAGTATCTGATTAACAAATAGCTATGTAGATGCTTACAAGTATTGACACAGTTATGAAATAAATACATGATTTAGAGTATACATGAATGTTAGTCAGAGACTAACCAAGAAAGGGTTATCTCCTGGGAATTTAAAGTAGAGGGTAAAATAGAGGGGTCTTAGTATGACAATAACAGTTGGAAATGATCATGCTGGACAAGAACTGAGTGTTAAAAGTAGGTAAAGGGATGTACATGACAGCCTTTCAGTATGTGTATTGCAAAACCACAGTGCCCAAAAGGGAAGGGGTGGGAGAAGGAAGGAAGGGGGGATGAGAGAGAGAGAGAAAGAGAGAGAAGGAAGAGGGGAGAGGAGAGAGAGGAGAGAGGAAAGAAAGAAATGCATTCCATGATGCAGGCTAGGGTGGGGTTGGGGGTGATGGGAAGGAAACTGGGGACACTGGTACTGGTGTTGGGAAGTGTACACTGGTGGAAGGATGGGGGCTGGAAACTGACTGAAACCTAATCATGAACAGCTTTGTAAGGGTCTATCTCACAGTGATTCAATTAATTAATTAAAAATAAAATAAAGGGCCTTTAATGCAGAAAATGAAAAGACAGATGATGGAATTGAGGAGCCAGAGACTGTGAAACGATGCTAGAATTAACAACAACTGGACTATAGGACAGTACATGGTCTCTGATTTTCTTTTTTTTCCCATTAAAACTCAAAATTTATTTATTTATTTATTTAAAATTTGTATTAATGAGACACCATGAGGTACAGTTGTAGATTTACAAATTTTGTGCTTGGGTTTCAATTATACAATGATCAAATGCCCATCCCTCCACCAGTGCCCATTTCTCACCACCATGGATCTCAGTATCTCTCCCAGCCCCCAACCCCACATCCCACCATACCTCTGTGTCAGGGCATTCCCTTTTGTTCTCTCTCTCCTTTTGGGTATTGTGGTTTGCAAAAGAGGCATTGAGTGGCAATCATGTTTGGTCTATAGTCTACTTTCAGCATGCTTCTCCCATCCTGGGAGGATCCTGTCAACACCCTTTATTTGGTGCTCCCTTCTCTATCTGAGCTTTTCCCCTAGCATGTGTGACTGGCCTCCAAGCTATGGAGCAAAATTACTTAATCTTGGCCATTCTTGGGTGTTAGTCTCCTATTTTGTTACTTTATGTTCCCCAGATGAATGCAATCTTTCTTTGTCTAGCCCTCTCTTTCTGACTCATTTCACTCAACTTGATACTTTCCATGTAGTACCACTTGTATGTAAATTTCATGACTTCATCTTTTCTAACTGCTACATAGTACTCCATTGTGTAGATGTACCAAACTTTCTTTAACCAGTCATCTGTTCTCAGGCACTCAGGATTTTTCCAGATTATGGTCTCTGATTTTTATTTTTTACTTTGGGGAAATTTATTACTTAAAACTCTGGTTTTCAGTACTACATAATTTTTTTTATATTGGAGTCACACCAGCAGTGCTCAGTACTGCACTCAGGAGGACTCCTGAAGGGGGACTCGGAGGACAGACCATATGGGGTCCCAGGGATAGAACCTGTATCAGTAAGGCAAGCATCCCACTCACTCTGTTATCTCTCTGTGATAACAGAGTGATCATGTGGTGTTGGAAATTGAATCCTGACCTTCTGCATTGAGCTATCTTTCTTACCTATTACATAATTTCTCTTTCTCTTTCTTTCTTTCTTTCTTCCTTCCTTTTTTTGGGAGGGCACCCCCAGCTTACTCTCACTCCTGGCTTTGTATTCAGGGATCACTCCTGTTAGTGCTCAAGTAATCATATGGGATGCTGGGGATTGAACCCAGGTGGGGCACATGAAAGGCAAGCACCTACCTGCTGTACTACCTCTCTGACCCCTCTACTACATAATTTCTAAAAATGAATTAAGTAAAAGAAATACTTGTCCCAAATAACTTTCACAATGTCATAGAGTTTAAAGATTAAATTTTTTAACCGCAAGGTCCTATTTCTAGGTTTCTGACCTCTTAGCCAATGGCTTTTTACTTTATGCTAAGAATGCTAAGAGATCATATAGAAAACCTTTGTGAACACTAAAGGTTTATGTGATACTTTTATGATATTGACCAAGTCTCTAATCTCTCTCAATTTAAGTGTTCTCTTTTTTTTTTTTTTTGCTTTTTGGGTCACACCTGGTGATGCTCAGGGGTTACTCCTGGTTCTGCACTCAGGAATTACTCGTGGTGGTGCTCAGGGGACCATATAGGATGCTGGGAATCGAACCTGGGTTGGCCACGTGCAAGGCAAACACCCTACCCGCTGTGCTATTACTCCAGCCCCAGTGTTCTCATTTTTAGAATAGTAGTAATGATATCCCTGATACATGGTAGGAAAGGGGTGTGTGTGTGTGTGTGTGTGTGTGTGTGTGTGTGTGTGTCTTAAAATTCTCCGGTTCGACCAGAAAGATAATACAGTGGGTAAGGCTCTTGTCTTGCATCCACCAGACCTAGGTTTGATCACCAAAACCATATATCCCCTGAGCCCCTCCAGGGATGATCTATAAGCACAGCTGGGTGTGCCCCCCAAAATGACCCCATAAATTTTTATCTAGGTTTATAGGAATTAAGGTATTATGTATTATATGTATGGAAATAGAATTGCTTCATATTTCAGTTTGTCTTAAACATACATAAGAAGCAGTCTTAAATGGTCAGAATTTCAAACAGTTCCTACCTGGCCCCTCCTTGTATTGTGGCATAGTTCTGATTTTAAACTGACTTTTATGTTGGTTGATACACTGATAGGATTGGGAAAAAAGGCATTAACTTAGAAAATATAGACTAGTCTTTCTGTTGGAGAATGTGTTTGAAAAAACATTGAAATATTTCTTTTTTATCTAATTCTAGATCAGAAAAACAGTGCAGACATCAAAAATATCCAAGGAACAAATGCTAATAAAACAACACAAACAAGTATGGTGGCAGGAATACCAAAGATTAAAGGCAATCAGGTAAGAACTGACAAAAATTTTAATAGAATATGAGTGACCTTTATCTAGTTAGATATTTTATAACTTTCCATCTTAATAAAACCATTCAATCAAAATTTAAACTTAAAGTTTGAATGTAAGTAAAATTAAAATCCTTCAACAAATTTAAGTTTAGATATAAAAATAGGTTAATACCACTTTTGCTTTCCTTATAATAAAAATAATAGATCATCTATAGCTGAATCATTTACTCTTCTATATTCCTACCTATGCTTGGATTAAGTTATATTAAATTTAGCACATTGAAACATAGACTGGAGTGATAGCACAGTAGGTAGGGCGTTTGCCTTGTACGTGGCCGACCTGAGTTCGATTCCTCCACCCCTCTCAGAGAGCCTGGAAGCTACAGAGAGTATCCCACCCGCATGACAAAGCCTAGTAAGCTACTCGTGACATATTCAATATGCCAAAAACAGTAAAACAAGTATCACAATGGAGACGTTACCGGTGACCACTGGAGCAAATCGATGAACAACAAGAGGATAGTGCTATTGAAACACAATATTTTGTTTACATATATGCTTCCTATATGAAGCAATAAACTTCTTGGGACAAATGTTCTATGATATTCACAATTATATTATAGGATAGCAGGAATGAGATATATTAATACTTTAATAAATGAATACCAGGATTGATTAAGGTGCTTGCCTTGTATGTGGCTGACCAGTTTACAATCCCCAGCACCCCAAACTATTCCCCAAGATTCTCAGGAGTAATCCCTGAGTACAGTCAGGAGTAAGCTTTGAGCACTGCCAGGTGTGTCCCTAAAACAAGGAAAATAAATAAGTGAATGTATAGCCAGGGAGATAGCTCAAAGGGATTGAGCACATGCCCAGATGCACAGATCCAAAGGTTCCATCTCTGGCATCACATGACCTTCAAAGCCTCATTTGGTATAATCATATTGATATAACCCTAAAATTGGGGAGGATCCCCCAAAAATGAAAAAGAAGTATATAAATGAACAAATAGATTAAAGTATCAATGTTCAGTGATTTCTATAGCTGAATCATCACTAACTTACCCTACTTGAAGTTCTGCTTTTTCTTATTAATTCCAGAAATCACTTCAAGTTGAACTAAAGTCGAACAACTGGTCCTAAAGTGGATCTTATACTTATCCAGCAAGGGAAATATCCTGGTCATGCAGCTGGTTTTTCCAGGGTTAGGCTTATTGATTGTATTCTCTATGTGCTGCGGATCTCTGTGATTTCCCCAAATGTGGAAAACTCAACCATATAATTTGTGGTAGTGAAGGACTGGATACACATTCTCCCATCAAAATAAATAAATAGACCTTGAGTGTAATACTTGTAAAATCAATTTCTTCGCCAAGTTCAAGCAAAGAGAAATTATGTGTTTTCTTTCAATTTGAGACAAATGTCACTGTCACTGTCCTCCCGCTGTTTATCCATTTGCTCGAGTGGGCCTAGTAACGTCTCCATTGTGAGACTTCTGTTACTGTGTTTGGCATATCGAATACAAGATGGGTAGCTTGCCAGGCTTTGCCGTGCGAGCGAGATGCTCTTGGTAGCTTGCCGGAATCTCCAAGAGGGGCAGAGGAATCAAACTCAGGTTGGCCATGTTGGCCGCATGCCAGCAAATGCCCTACCCGCTGTGCTATTGCTCCAGCCTGAAATAATAGTGATTTTTTTAGAAAATTAAATAAGTTCTCAAATCTCTGCCCTTCTCAGCTGCCACCAACAGGACTTTTGGGACCCCCATCCTCCTTATTAGTCCTGTGAATACTCAGGTTTCACATTGCAGACTCAGCCATAAAGCTTGCCTGGTTAAGGGAAACTCTGGGCCCCCTGCTGTGTGGGGGGTCCCCATTCTGCTGCACCTATGCCCGGGGTCCTGGCACAGACAGTGCAGCCACATCCCGGTGTGGGCAGAGGTGGTTGCTCCTTGAGCCTGCCCTTCTTACTCCTGCCCAGTGCTGGTTCCCCTCATACTGAGAGAGTGTTTTTTGGTTTTGAGGCCACACCCGGTGGTACTCAGGGGTTATTCCTGGCATTGCACAAGGACTCACTCCTGGCAGTGCTCAGGGAACCGTATGGGGTGCTGGGAATCAAACCCTGGTCGGCTGTGTGCAGGGCAAGTGCCCTACCTGCTGTACTATCGCTCCAGCACCCCCATACTAAAAAAAGAATGAATGTTCCTGCACCCCCCACCACCCATGACCACTTGGTTCCAGTGGGAGCAGAGTTTCGGGGTCGCCAGGAATCGAGTTCACTTAGCAGGTGCCCTAGGTAGGCCTCACCTGCCTGAAGGTAGCTGGGAAAATTAGATTGCAGGAAGGCCGGGGGCGGGAAAGAGTATCAGAGACCAGGGGTTCCCACCAGGCCCCTTCCTCTCTGACCCTAACCGCCCAGGCACACGGCAGGAAGGCAATAGTTCTCACCCAAACCCCAAGGCTGGAGAACAAGAGAAACCGGGAGCATACGGAACCTTTGGGCTAAGGCCCATGAGAGGCTCAGGGCTGCGACACAGGAGACGGGGCTGCAGCCAAGGAACTCTAGCCAGAAGTCATACATTAGAGCAAGGACACTGAAGGGACAGGACCAGGTAGTCATGCAGAGAGGCAGAGAGACAGAGACAGAGACAGAAAGACAAACACACAGAGAGGCAGAGACAAAGAGAGACAGAAATAGAGACAGAAAGACAGAGACACGGAGAGAAACAGACACACACATACACAGAGAGAGAGAGGGAGGGAGGAAGGGAGAGACAGAGAGACAGACACAGAGAGAGAAGAGAGAGAGAAGACGTGAGGGAGAGAAAAAAGGGAGGAAGGGAGGGAGAGAAGGAAAGAGAGCGAGGAAGGGAGGGAAAAGATAGAGAGAGAGACAGAGAGAGAGAGAGAGAGAGAGAGAGAAAGAGAGCTGAATGCTAGGGAGGGACCTAGAACTGGTGAAATTGTACAATAAATTATAGCTTCCTGAGGTCCTGGATCCTGCCAGCAAATCTTTCATATGGTCCTCAAGGACCACCCCCCCCCCCCACCTGCCTCCTACTGCCCCCAACACAGAATAAAACCTATTTCTGGTAACAGAGGATCAAAGTACAATGGATAGGGCCGACTCCCGGAAATGAAGCACTGGGCAGGGATTGGGGGGCTGGGGCTGGGGCTGGGGGTGCTGCTCTGGGCAGGGGGAGGGAGCCAGGGGTGCTGCCCGTGCTGCAGCACTCATATGTACTTATGAGCAGCTCACAAGAGACATATGTACTTATCTTAATTATGGTGGCATTATTAAACATACCTTTTAAAATATATTTTATACCAAAACAGTTTTCATGGTCTTATTCTAAGTCAAATTGGAAATACCTTTATCTTAATTTTTCATTCAGGGTCACGGTCCTCCCATTATTCATCAGTTTGCTCGAGCGGGCCCAGTAACGTCTCCATCGTGAGACTTGCTGTTACTGTGTTTGGCATATCAAATACATCACGGGTAGCTTGCCAGGTTTTGCTGTGCGGGCGAAATACTCTCGGTGGCTTGCCGGGCTCTCCGAGAGGGGCAGAGGAATCAAACTCGGGACAGCCATGTTGGCTGCGTGCAAGGCAAACACCCTACCGCTGTGCTATCGCTCCAGCCCAATTTTTCATTAAAAATTTTAATTTTAGGTGCGAATTAATAATACTGTTAATGAGTGTTTTAGGCATACAGTATTGCTACATCACACCCACATTAGCTACCACAAGAGTGTCAATATTTCTTTATCATTTTCCTCAGGTCCCTTTTCACCCAGTGATAGTTATAAAATAAATTTTAGTGAAGTCACAGATTGTGAAGAATTAAGGGCCACCAGAAACTCAAAGCTTAAATTCTATTAGTCTTTATGAGCTTTAAAAATTGGCATTCCCTTTTAATAAATGGTTAAAAGTATGATATTCTTATGTATTACCATAAAAGATTCAATCGAGAATCTCAGGTGCACAGAAGAAAGGTCCTATTATGGTGATGATCCTATTTTCATTGGATAACTTAGTATATGCCAGAAAATTTGTTATGTACTTTGTATACTTTATTAATGTAATCCTTGTAACTACACTACAGAGTATATATCTTTGCTCTCCTCATTTTACAAATGAAAATTGTGAAGTTCAGAAAATTAAAGTTATTTGCAGATCATAAATCAGCTGGTTTGTAGATGATAAATTAGCTAGTTTATGTGAGGGTGATGATGAATCACTTGATTTCAGCAATGCCTGTGCTCCACGACCTTGGATTTTTCCTTTTGGTTTTTGGCAGTGCTCAGGGCTTAATCCTAACTCTTCTTTCAGAAATCACTCCTGTGGGCTTGGGGAACCATCTGAACAGCTGGGGATTGAACCCAGATCAGCCTCATGCAAGGCAAGAGCCCTCTCCACTGTACTTGTCTCTGGCCCACGATTTGTTTTTTTAATCTCCACTTACATCAACTGAGGTCTAATTGATGTAGACTTACTGGCAAAAAATATTTTTCAGACATTAATTCTTTGAAATCTTACTAAGAAAATTAGACTCAAAATATCAGAATAAAGGTAAAGGTAAAGGCCCTCCCGTTGATCGTCAATTTGCTCGAGCGGGCCCAGTAACGTCTCCATTGGAGACTTTGTTGTTACTGTGTTTGGCATATCGAATACGTCACGGGGAGCTTGCCAGGCCCTGCCGTGCAGGCGAGATACTCTCGGTAGCTTGCCGGGCTCTCAGAGAGGGGCAGAGGAATCGAACTCGGGTGGGCCATGTTGGCCGCTTGTAAGGCGAATGCCCTACCACTGTGCTATCGCTCCAGCCCCATCAGAATATAGTTATAATTTAAATTCAAACTTACAAAATTTAATAATTTAATGTAAATTTATAAAACTATGTTTAATTTTTAACAGTCATGGTCACGGTCCTCCTGTTGTTCATTGATTTGCTCGAGCGGGCCCAGTAACGTCTCCATCATGAGACTTATTGTTACTGTGTTTGGCATATCGAGTACGTCACGGGTAGCTTGCCAGGCTCTCCGAGAGGGGCAGAGGAATCGAACTCTGGTCGGCCATGTTGGCTGCTTGTAGGGTGAACGCCCTACCGCTGTGCTATCGCTCCAGCCTTTTTAACATGCCTTTTTAATTTTTAACATGCCTTTTTAAACGATAGTCTTTATTTATTTTGGTGTTGAGATAACATCCTGGGTTGCTTAGGGGTTACTCCTTGGCTCTTCAATCAGGAATTTTTTCTGTTCATGCTCAAGGGACCATAATGTGATGCTAGGGCATGAACTCAGGATGGCCTTATGCAAAGCAAGTGTTCTAACTGCTTTACTATCTCTTCACCCCCTAAAATCATGGTCTGTAAAAACCTTCATTACTTTTCTTATTTCAAAATTGTTGCTTTCTTGTTTCAAAATCACTGGCATGGAGTTAAGGAGGAAGTTAATGCCAGTCAACTTTATGTAAGTGAACTGGAAAATATTTCAATTTTTATTCCCAGAATTCTTGGGTAAGATAGTTTGTTAGGTTTATTATTTATTTGTTCATTTGTTTTTGGACACATACAGTGCTTGGGGGACCATGCAGTGCTGGGAATTGAACCTTAGCCTTCTGCATATAAAGTTAATGCTTTGTTCTTTATGTTATCTCTGCTGGAGGGTTTACTCATATATCTTACTTTTTTGCTATCATTTTCACAAGGCGTATTGTTCTTATAAGCAAATCTGTGTTAGAAACATATATTGACTCTTGCTGTTTAAATGCATTGTTCTGAAAATATTGCCTATATTCAGGAAGTTATCTTGGGATTTTAACAAGTAGGTGTTGTTTGGAACTGTCTCTTTTAAAAAATTTTAAAAAATATTTTGTAATTAAATCACAATAAGATACGCAGATATAACATTGTTCACAATTGGGTTTTAATCATATATTGTTCCAACCTGTCTATTCACCAGTATACAGGAATTGCCACTTTTAAGGTGGAATTGAAAGTACTCTTCATACTGTGTAACTCAGAGAATTCTGAGTTCAGCTCCTACAGTCATTCATTTCTTATCCAAGAGTTCTGAGGTTTCTTTCTCAAGCCTCTGTTATTCACTTGGAGCAGACTCATTCTAATGTGAGAAGTGGGTCAAATGGCTGAATACAAGATATTATGCTTTCTGAACATCTGGGTCCTTTCCCAGTTGAGAGCAGAGAACTTTTGCCATCAGTTATTTCTACCCTTCATTTTCTGTGAAACTCCTGTCTCCTGGTTTCATTTAATGAATTTAAACACATTGCTTCGCCTTTCTTGATCGATGCCCCTTGCTTAGTG